TAGTTTTAAAATAACAATGTACTTTGGCATCAATAAATGCATGTTGATTTGCTAATTGTGTTTATGTCCCAAGTGCAAGAAATAGCAATGTACTTTGGTAGTTTTTATTTATGTTAATAGTTTAACTTATTAATTTATATATGTTGTTATTTATTATGTAATTGGAAAATTTTTGTGCAATGCGCAACGACCCGACGTGTAGGGAGGAACTTTATGAGTTTTTTCAATCAGGGAAACCACAAAGTGATGATCAAGGAGGAAACGAGGGGATCAAAGTTGGTGGTTTGTCGGATAATTAGTTTGTGTTTTGTACGTTAGACTTGTTGTGACAGAAATTTATAACAATTTTTTTGTTTATTTTGGTATTTGTATGAAATTATAACACTTTGGTACCTATTTGGATGTCGTTATATAATTTTTTTTGTATTTAATGTCGTTACGTATCATTTTTCTACACCCGAAAAGTGTTGATTTAAAAAAAATGAAAAATACAAAAAAATGAAAAATAATATTACCGGCAACAAAATTATTATCGACAACAACGGGTTTTACCGGCAATATATATATTTAGCGACAACATTTTGAGCAATAGCGATATGACAGTACTAACGACTTTTTAGTGACGACGTGTCGCCACTATTACTTTTACCGACAACAAATCCAACTTTTAGCGATGATTTCTGTCGTCGTTAATGCCTCGTTTTCTTGTAGTGATTATATTCATACATCATTACTAATGTACCCCTGATTGGACGACCCCCCCATCTCTCTCTCTCACACACACATACACACACACATATATATATATATATATATATATATATATATATATATATATACACACACACCCCACCGTAAAGATACATATATACTTCTAGTTAGTAGTGAGAGTATGAATAGACAAAATTACAAAAATTGTCCATGTGGTTGGCAAAATTATGTGGTTTTACTCTTTGGTGGTGCACAAATCGTCTAAAATTGTATCTTTTTACTGGTTTTAGTCCTTATACGCTTAAAAAGACAATTATGTCCTTATAATTTATATTTTTCATTTTTTTAATTGCTGAAATATATAAATTATTCTAATTATTATTTTTTAACTAAAAAAATAAAAAAAAAATGCCCACCCACCCCATTTCTCTTTCCATCTCTCAAAAAAAAAACACACACACTCAAGAAACATATCATCGCTAATGGTTGCAACCATCACCACCGATTGCTACCATCATCTGTCACTATCACCATCGACTACCACCACACTCCACCACAAACATCAAATCCCACCCTCACCCCATCCAAATCTGTAAAAAATTGCAATTGATTTTTGCCTCAAGACAAAATCTAATGGAAAACGGGAAGGTTCTTTAAGTCAATGATGATGGTGAGGACTTCACAGTTCATACCAATTTAAATTGAAGGATATTTAGTAAGGATGGTTGAGTTGAGATGGGTTCTTGTGAAAAGGCATAAATTTCTTAAATTACCATCGATTTACCTGCAAATTGAGTTCAACTTTAGCCATTTTTTTTTAATTTGTGGTGTGGTCGAGTAAAAATTATATGGTAATGGTGAACCTTTTTAAAAGCCAAATCGAACTCAGATTTCTCATGGCACACCCATCACAATCGTTGAAGCATGAACAACCATGTAAACCCCATCACCTAGAGATGAAGAAGCAGACCCAAATGAAGACGTCTTCTCCAAATAATGTACCGAATGAACATCCTGTACATAAGTATTACCTTGAAATTTCTGCCAATTATACCCTTTTGATCAACATCCTTTTTCTCCGGAATAGGAACATAGTTGTTAAATGTTACAAAGACGACATAGACGAGAAGGGCAATGAGAGGCGAGACAAGCTAGACTTCCATCAAACCATCATCGTCGCCGCCAAACTCCGGCTTTGGGGAAATCGATATAACCTTCATTACCATTGTCGAGTATGCATTCAACCCAATCCCTAGATTCCGATTTTGGGGAAATCGATCTACCCTTCATTACCAGTTTCATTGGTATTTGATGGAGACGATGATGAAGCGTGAATATGGTACACAATCGCATTGGTGTGGATCTCAACTGTTGAGATGGTGCATCAAGGTTGATGATGGTGAGTTTTAGGGTAAGGTTGAGGTGGATAAGACGTTGACTCAAGAAGCGAGTGAAATTGGATTTCTTTTTGGTTTTTTAATTAAAAAAATATGAAAATAAATAAAATGAAATTAAAAAAAAACTATTTTAGGGGCATATTGGTCATTTTAGGATGGATATGGACCAAAATCACACAAAAATGTGAACCATAGGGACTAAAACCACACAAGGTATCCGGAATTGGATCTTCAATATGGCACCAAACTTTTTTGGACCAAAACCGCAAAAAATTACCAGCCATAGGTACCATTTTTGCAATTTTATTTATGAATAATATAAGCACCCATAATAAAATGAAGACAAAATTGCAAAAATGGTCCTTGTGCTATGCATTTTTTTGGGGTTTTAGTCCAAATCCCGACTTTTTTGGATTCGTGGTCCTTTTGGCCATGTTTGTACGTAAATTTGGTCCCTCGTAAAATTGAAATGACTATAATGCCCTTCTGATATATTTTTTTTTATGTTTTTTCTATTTAATTTAAATGAAAAAGAAAATAAATAATTAATTTGGGCCCACATCTCTCTCTCTCTCTCTCTCTTGAAATCAAGAACAAACCATTTATTGTTGCATCTTCAAAATCATGTTCGTCCTCATACCAATGTCCAAACAAACCTTCATCCCCACCACTCATCTCCCCTTCTTCGCTCACCTGCTCATATTCGCCGATTTCCAGTAGGGAACACACCCAAATCGTCGATGGTACTACACCCAAATCTCGATTTTCAGTGGTGATACAAACAGAATGAAAGCTTCATCCAGAAAAGGTTGATGTTGATTATGAGATAGTATTGTGATCTTAGGAAGATTGGTGTTATGGTAATAAACATAAACCCCTCTTATTAGTCTCAAGAACCCTAACTCTGATCTGAACCCCATATGATGGTTTTGATCGGTGAAATTTGTTCTGTTGATATTTTGGTGGGAGAGGAGGTGGTGAAGATAGTTAATGTCTGGATTGTTGGAATGTGTTGGATGGGGTAAGTTAAGCCCGGATGAGGGTTCAGGTCTTGTATGGTGTTGTTGTGAGTTCAAAGTACTCTTCCAGAAATTCCCTAAATCCAAATCATGATGATCTTGTTTAGTTGTTGATGATGTCCACGTTGTTGAAGTGGGTTTAGTGTTGGGAAGGCTAATCTGGAGAGATAAGTATGTTTGTGTTGGAAATAGCTCCATTACACCTTCAAACTGGAAATCTTGTGTCTTCTTCCAGCAAGGAATGCAAGTGACAACCAACAGGACCATATGTGTTCCATTTTTAGACCATTTTCAATATTTGACCGAAATACCCCTGTCGTCCTTTTAATGCTTTACACCTCTAGCAAGGACGTCCTAACAATGGATCATCAACATGTGTCTTAGGCGCTGAGAAATGTTCTTGAAGATGATTAAGATATTCATGAAGCCTAAACATTCCTTAAGCATTTGTGAGACCTCAATCATGGTGAATCTTTTGAACATGATATCAGTGTGAATGATACATGAGAAGCAAGTGGATTAATCTTGAGTGAAGATGCTGAGAAACTTATGAAGCAAAAAGGAATGATGCAGTCACAGACTTCATGAAGCTGAAGGAAATAATTGAAGCTTGAACTTGAGAGAGAGAGAGAGAGAGAGAGAGCCCCTTGTTATTTTTTTAAGTATTAAAATAAATAATTTAATATTAGATTTAAAAAGAAAGGAAAGAAAAATGGAAAATAAATACCCCAAGGGTATTACAGTCATTTCACTATTCAGAGGGACCAAAAACACAACGAAACTAGTTCAAAAGGACCACTAATCCAAAAAAGTTGGGGTTTTGACTAAAACCCCAAAAAAATGCATACCACTGGGACATTTTTGCAATTTTGTCTAAAATGAAAAAACCAAACAATATCTAATAGGGGCCACTTAAGCACCACATTATGCTAAAGTGTATCTAATATTCCATGTAAAGGCAAATCAGTTTTACAACCTACAAACCAGTTAAAATGATACAACTAACAATTTAAAACAACTATAATGGTCTAGAATACAATAGAAAATTTTACCACTAACCAAATGAGTACGAAAATCATTTCAATATGTTTTATTATGACTAAGCCGGTGAGCCCACAAAACATAGAGTATATTAATTGAAGATGGGCTTTTTAAAAAGATATTTGATTTAAATTATCAAACTAGTCTTGAAAACCTTGATTGTTGTTATTTTTGTAGCTTAAATTTGTTAAATTGCATGTTAGATTTAGTTGTGACAATTAAAGGGGGTAAAGTATAAAATAGGTAGCTTGAAGTTGTGGATTAAGGCCAACATTTGAAGTCAGAACTGACGCAAGCAAGCAGGCAGGGTCTTTCTTGGGTCAGGTTTGACCCATATTTTGTGACAGACTATTTAAGCAAAAATGTTAAGTTTCAATTCATTTTAACACACAATCTCTCAAATACCCACAAACCCTAAATCTTTTACAAAAACCTAGCCGCCACCTAATGACCTGCTATCTCCGGCCGTCCGCCTATGTCCGCCGGAGTTTCTGTTAGCTTGGTTCTAATCTTTTCTTCTTTTAGCTTCGTCCTAATCTTTTCTTCGTTCCATGGACTAAGATGCTTATTTTTATGATAAAAGGTCTTAATAATACTAGTTTTATATAATAGAGGGTGACGTTGAGATATTCTGGAAAAACATGTTCTTTCAGAAACTTTTGTCGTTTCTATAAATACGGCGTCCGCGAACTCGCCACGCTCCGCAATATGCCTCCAGTTAATAAAGATTCACGGCAGCCACTTGCGGATGGATCGGCCGCCACCAGAATCTATAAAACCACCCGTTTCATCGAACCCAGTCACACACACGGACACCGAAGCATAACATTGCATGGCTAATCGTCGACCTCCCAACTCCTCCGGTTTCCAGCAGCCCCGAAATGATACCTCCGGTCGCCACCCTGTTTACCGTGGTATCCGATTGCGAGCTGGAAAATGGGTTTCTGAAATTCGTGAACCGAACCAGACCAAGCGCATATGGCTTGGCACCTATGCAACACCGGAAATGGCAGCCGCTGCTTATGACGTGGCTGCATTGGCACTCAAAGGTAGGGATGTACTTCTAAACTTTCCAGACTCTGTTATTTCAAGTACACTTCCGGAGCGTCCAACCGCTGATGACATCCGTGCAGCAGCTGCCAGAGCAGCTGCCGCTCGAGCACCGGGGTATGGGTATGAAACTGGTGGTGGAAGCATTACAAATACAGCCCCTCCTGGTGCATATATGGATGATGAACATGAACCCAATCTGTGGTCTGACATGGCAGAGGGAATGCTGCTAAGTCCACCGAGGATGGATTCCAGTCCACCGGATGATGGAACAGATCATTCCGGTGGAAGCAATCTATGGAATTACTAAAACCAAGCTTGCTAACAACCGGTATATACAATATGAAATATGAATCGCTAAATGTTTCTCAGACTTTATTTTATGTTGTTTTCGTGTGCTTTTTTTTTCTTAATTCCAAAAGCTTCGGTTGGCAAAAAAAAAAAAAGGCCACGAAGGTGTCGGAGTATTCTGGGTTAGTGTAACGCACCAGTGATATGTAAGCGTTGCATTGTCTATTTTTAACTTGTAAACAAATAACCTATACGGCCTACAGGTTGTGACTTTTATATTATAATAAAAATAAATACCGGTTGATTTGAACTTTTTTTTTTTCTTTTTGAAACGACCATTTAATATAGTCATAACTACCATCTATGTTTCAAGTAAGACTTTAATTTATGATGCTCAAAACAAGAAATAACAATGGAGAATGAACCTGAGGTTTGTGTGTATGATTGATTAGGAAGATACGGATGAAGCTGATTTAAGCAAAGGCGAGGTGGTGAATGGTGATTATATTTATATCGGTGTTGAGATGGATGAGTATAAAGATACTCTCACAAGAATGTCTCAGGATACTTTAAAAGGGAAATTTAATGTGATTTTACGGAGAGAAGATGTAACATTTGCAGGACAATGAGTTTTACTGTTCTCAAAAGTCAAACTACTTATTTTTATTCACATATGGGTATTCTTTTTTATTTTTGACCTTGAATGTTTTACGAGTCCGAGTATTTTATTTGCCAAAATGTAAAAAGAAGGCATTAGGCAGGTGAGACAAGCAATTGTGACTTTTTTTTATTGTTACCTTTATATTTTATATTTATCATGACAAGTTTTAGCATGACGATTCATTTTGTTGACATCATTATCAGTCACTTAGTTAGGGGTCGTTTTATAGTTGTTAAATGACTGAGTTACCTTCTAACTGAAACTTGCTGTTTGATTTTGCATCTGACTGACCGTACAAAATGACTATATTACATTCAAACAACATTTTTTATAATATATCAATAATCGAATTTTCTTTATTTTATATCACTAACCTCCATCATTTAAGTTCATTGCAGTTTTCCAAATGATTCACAAGTAATATATAATCCCAAAAAGACAACACATGAAATTCCAAATGAAACTCCAAATGATTCAGTCTCAATGAAAGTATAAGAATCAAAACTTCAAAAATAAAGAACATAATACAAAATGAAATATAAAAACCGGAACACATATTGATTATTTTTTATTATTGATTAATAGTGATACCACAATAATTATCCATTTAACTAGTTATCAAATACAAAAAGGGTTCCAATTGTAGACCCAGAAACAAAAACACCAGCCCCAATTCGAAACAATAGATAATGGCATCGACAATCTTCTTGAATCTCTAAACATAAACTATAGATTTAGAGAAAGAAACACTAAATTGAATTAATTTTTTAGGAAGTTGAAAATAAGCAAAATTGAAATCGATTTCATTAATCGATTTTACTGAAAATAAGCAAAGTTGAAATCACAAACAATCAAACCTCAATTTTATGAAATCGATTTCATTTATTGATTCAAACAATTATTAAAGAGGAATAGGACCCTTGGTGGGGGATGGAAAAGCTATGTGATCGATTGAAGGAGAACCTGTGTTCTTGAAGGAGGTGAACGTCGTTAGAGAAGACGATGGTGGAGGAGGTGTCCGACGATCGATTGCAGAACCGGTGGTGGTGGAAGGAGAAGGTATGCGTTGGTTTAAAGGAGAACCAAGAAGGAAGCATGGAAAAGGGTATATATGAGAACGAAGTATAACAGACTGGGTCAGCGGATATTTTTCCTTGGACCAAATCAACACGAAAATAAGGATTGGATCCTTGATTTGGACCGAGTCCAAAGGTGTATAAAGGAAAACAAACAAGCTACTTCGGATTGAGGACCGGGTCCTAACTTTAGACCCAATTAGAAGGCAAATCAAATGACCCCTTAGTGTGAAACATAGTTCTAATCACTATAATTAAAGTTGATAATACAGTCTAATGTTTGTTAAAAGAAATTATGTTTATGTGGAGTGTTATTTGGATAGTTAATAAGTTTCACCCCTGATCCTTTCATGTTTCCAGTTCTCATTCCGAACTCTCTCTGCTTATGCCTCTCTGATCAAACCCAAAAGCAGAGAATCAACATATATCCTCATACACACCTCTCCAATTGAAGATCCAGCCGAATTGCGGCTCAAAGCAGCTGCTACCATATTCGCTTTACTCGGATGGTAAATGATATTGCAGTCATAACCATTGACCACGTCCAGCCACCTGCGTTGTCTCATGATCAAGTTCGGCTGGTCCATAAGATATCTCAAACTCTTCTGATCCGTGTAGACAGTACAACGGACCCCATAAAGATAATGTCTCCAAATCTTGAGGGAAAACACCACTACCCTCAACTCCAGGTCATGAGTAGGATATTACGTCTCATGTGGCTTCAGCTGCTGCGAAGCATAAGGAATCACTCGTCCCCTCTGCATAAGTACTGCCCCCAAAACAGTGATGGATGCATCACAGAATACCACAAAATCCTCAACGCCCTCTGGAAGAGTCAACACCGAGGCCTCACATAATCTCTGTCGCAGCGTCTCAAAAGCATCCTACTACTCCGGGCCCAACTGGAAATCCACTCCCTTCCTCGTCAGACGAGTGAGGGGTACAACAATCTTGGAGATCATGGATAAATCTCCGATAGTACCCCGCTAAAGCCAAGAAACTCCTGATCTCTGAGGGAGATTTCGGAACCCCCCACTACATCACGGCCCATATCTTGGCCAGGTCAACCAAAATATCGTCTTGGTTAATGAGATGTCCCAGGAACTGGACCTCTCGCAACCAAAACTCACACGACAAGAACTTGGCATGCAGCCGTTCCCGCCTCAATACTCCCAGCTCTCGAAGGTGATCCTCGTGTTGCTCCCTAGTCTTGGAATACACCAAGATATCATCAATGAACACAATAACATATCAGTCGAGCATTGGCATACACACCTGATTCATCAAATCCACAAACACTGCAGGCGCATCGGTGATCCCAAATGACATCAACACAAACTCGTAATGCCCATAATGAGTCCAGAACGCGGTCTTCTCCACGTCTTCCTCTCTCACTCTCACATGATGATACCCAAACCTCAGATCGATCTTGGAGAACTAAGATGCCCCTGCAATTGATCAAAGAGGTCATCAATCAATTGAAGGGGATAACAGTTCTTCACTGTTAACTTGTTCAATTCACGGTAATCAATGCACGTCCGGTGTGAACCATCTTTCTTTTTGACGAACAGTATTGGCGCTCCCCATAGTGAACTGCTCGACCTGATGAACTGTTTTCCTAACAGCTCTTGAAGCTGATAGGACAACTCCTTCATCTCGGGTGATGCCAAGCTGTATGGTTCCTTGGTTATCGGAGCTGCACCTGGCACTAGATCGATCCTAAACTCAACATGACTCTCAGGAGAAAACATCGGCAAACTCCCTAACAACTGGCACATATGAAACCGAGACCTGCTCCCTCATCCGAGTATCAACAACATAAGCCAGATAACCCGCACACCCATGCTGAATATACTGTCGAGCTCTGGCTGCCGAAAAAAACCATAAACCAACCCCAATACCCTTTCCATGGATAACCAGTTCTCCCCCACTTGGGGTTCGAACTACTACTCACTAACCCTCGCAATAGCTCAAGGCACCAAACCTGCTCAGCCAATCCATCCCCACTATCACACACACATCCCACATGGGGATAGGGATCAAATCAATCGGATAAGGCACCGCGAAGATCTCAAAGACACAACCCTGATACACTCTGGATGCATAAACCCCGTGTTCGTTGGCGATAGAACCTGCAACGGACACTCCAATTCACTAAGGGGCACACCAAAATCCCTACTGAAAGATCGAGATACAAAGGACCGACTCGAGCCCGAGTCAAATAACACTAGAGCAGACAAAGAGTTCACTAAGAATGTACCTATTAGAAGCATAACATATTCATACCATAAAAATAATCGAGAGAACAATAAATAGAAACATACCGGTCACGACATCTGGCGCTACTCTGGCCTCCTCGGCAGTGAGCTGAAAAGCGCGACCGTGAGCCATCGGGGGCTCCCCCCGACCCTGGCTCCCATTAGTAATCCTCAGAGTAGTTGGCGTTGGAGTCTGCGCTAGTCTAGCAGTAAGCAAATGGCACTGGGCCTTCATATGGCTCACCTGATCACAGTGATAGCAAATCCAAGTGCTGGGTACTGGAGCCTGCTGACGGCAGTCCTTGGCATAATGCCCCTCTTTGCTACATTTGTGGCAACCAGAAGAAAATCGACAAGAACCCTCATGAACCCTGCCGCACTTGCCACAAGTGCGACCCCTCTGACTCCCTAACCTCGAATCAGCGGCATTGAACCGCTTCACAGCAGGCTGCGACTGCACTAGTGTCTGCCTCCGCTCCCTCAACTGGAGCTCCAACCCAATCTCCCGCTGCCTAGCGGCCTCCTGTAACTCCACCAATGATCCATAGATGTAACGCCCAAATTCCCAGGTGTGAATTTAAAGTTTAATATATACTCATTTTCAGGGAAACTCGACGAGTTTGGAGGCTCCTACTCGTCGTGTAGAGTACTTAATGTCGCGTATCTTTCAATGTTTACTCGACGAGTTGGAAGCCCCCAACTCGACGAGTTGAAGGTTGAACATGAAAACCCTAACTTTTAGGGTTTGCACCCTATTTAAAGGCCTTAACTCTCATTGTTAGCCTCCCTCATCGTCCCCTCAGTCCATAGAAAACCCTAAATGTGCCTCCTTGTTCCAAAAACAAGTCTTAGAGTCATACTCCAAGATTTTAACCTTGAGTGACATTAAATTAAGAAAGTTTTAAAACACTTATCAAATATAGAGTAAAAGTTTTCTACTCTTGTACATTTGAAATTGGTAAGCTGTGATGTTTTGGATAAAACAAAGACCAACTAAGGCCGATTGTGTGAAGTGTTTGTCTTG